GAATAGGCAGAGAATAGTTGTTACGGCTACAGAAAATTTACAAAGCAAATTTAACATAATAGATACATTTTCCAAGTCTCAACTATTTTTAGGGTAAGTGCATATGGTATATTTCTAAAAAAAAATGACCATTTGAGGGTCATAAAGCCAAAGCCAGAAAGAAGATGCATTACTGTTGAGTTGGTTTTGACTTGTGTTTTTGTGTGCAGTCGGGTACTGATGTTGTTGTTGTTAGGTGCCATCGAGTCAGTACCGACCCATAGTGACCTTATGCACAGCAGAACGAAACACTGCCTGGTCCTGGGCCAACCTCACTACTGCTACCACATTTGAGTCCATCGATACTGCCACTTGGCCAATCCATCTCGTTGGGGGTCTTCCTCTTTTCTTCTGACCCTCCACCTTACCAAACATGATATCCTTTTCCAGTGACTGGTCCCTCCTGACAATATGTCCAAAGTACGAGAGACGAAGTTTGGCCATCTTGGCCTTTAAGGAGCATTCTGGCTGCACTCAGCTGACTCTTAGTGCCTCTTTATAGGGTTTCCGAGAGTGGCTGCTGGGTTTGAACTGCCTACCTTGCAGTCAGAAGTCCAGTGCTTATTCTCTAGTGCCATGCCAGGGCTTTAAAGCAAACCTGTTGTTAGGTTTCACTCTCAGTGACCCTATAAAACAGACTAGAACGGCGTCTCAGGGTTTCCAAGGCTGTAATCTTCATAGAAGCAGACTGACCCGGTTTTCTCCCCTGGTGTGTCTGTGAGTTCCAACCATCAGCCTTGCAGTTGGTGGCTCAGCACTTAATTATTTTGCCACTAGGACTCCCTTATCATAGAACCAGTCTAGTATTTTTCCTAGGATTTAATGAAGTATATTTTATGGTTCAGTTTAATTATCGTGGAGACCTGGTGTGGCACTCTAGGCTAACCACTTGACTGCTAACCACAAGTTAGGCAGTTTAAACCCTACCACCTACCTGCTCCTTGAAATCCCATATAGAGCCACTGTGAGTCAGAAACTGACTTAACAGCACTGAGCAACAACAAAATAGGGAAATGAGTAGGGTACAACTCATAAGCAGAGATAACTCGGGGTACAGCCACTCTCCAGTCAGGAACACTGGGCTCAGGAGCCCACACAGCTCCCTGAACTGCAGACTAAACAGCCTGCCTTTTCTCTCTCAACGTTCTCTCTGTTCAGTTCAATCTTAGCCATACAAGTTAGGTCAGATGAGCACCAGCTAGTATTTTGGGGGCTCACACACACCTCCCTGTGCTTCAGACCAACTGTCCTCTTCACTTTCTCAACCCTAGGCCTCAGGAGGCTCAGGAGTTCACACGACTCCCTAAACTTCAGACCAGCCAGCCAGCCCTTCCTCTTCTCTTTCCTCTCTAGCCACTGTGGACCAGGTCAACAGATACCAGTGGAACCTGTCCAAACTTGGCACATCTCTCCATTGCTGCATTTCCCCCACTTCCACTCAACAAGTAAACCCAGTTGGTCACAGACTGCTCATTGGCTCTCTTTAACTTTCAGTCCTATAAGGGAGTTTTCTGTGATGGACAGACTTTTCCTGCTGTGATGCATCCAGTGGTAAATTGCTTGCTTGAAATTTTCTAAAAGCTAGTCTTTTTTTTTCTCCTGCAGGTCTTTTCTTCAACCTAAATCACCCAGTCTCTCAGCAGTTCTTGGTGGGTCTGCACTGCAAGTGTTTTCAGATACAAATTTCCTGAACTGATGGTGGGGCTCAGATCCCAACTAAGGCCCGTACTCTGAGGCAGGGGTGGGGAATCTTTTTCCTGCCAAAATTTATAACATCATTCCTGGGCCGTACAAAATTAACAACTTAAAAATTAGCCTGCTATGTTTGGGCAGACATTTAATTAACTCCCCGAACGTGATGAGTAGAACTGCAGTTGCCTTAGTAGGGCCAGACCAAATGATTTTGTGGGCTTCATAGAGCCTGTGGGTCGGACTTTCCCCACAGCTACTCTAAAGGCTTAAAACAAAAAGCCTGCTTCTGGGCAAATTCTACTCCCCTTTCAGCAAATTCAGTTGAGTGTGGGCTGATAGTGGGCTGACAGATTCTGTGATCGTAATCCTCTGGCTTCACAAGCAACCTTCGAACTCGGAATCAACCCAAGGCCCATTCTCATGAAGTGGAGGTGTGGCATGGCCTCTGATGACACCAGCTATCCCTCCCACAGCACTCTCTGCTTTACATCTGAGTTCGGTCATCCGTTGCAGTGACCACACAGAATTTTTAGACAATATTCACCGTTATGGGGGTTCTTAGGAAAGTGAACAGGACAGGGTAATATTCAGGATCAGAAACAACTCAGAATGCAACAGCTGTCTAGTCAGGAACATCTCTTCTGTGCCGTACTGCAAGTTCTCGTCACTCTCTGGCCTTTCACTGCTAGCACAAGTGTTAACAAAGCTCCCGTAGGCAGTCTGAATAGCCAAAGGACATTCCTGTGTCCACCTTCGGCCTCTTTGTGGCGTGGGCAAGTAAGCTCATGTCTCTTCTCCTGCCTCTCTATGATGCCATCTCAGCTCGTGCCTATGCCCCCACTGCTGCCTCTTTAGGTGGGGACTTCACACTCTAATTGGGGCTGCTCTTTCTTGATCATCCTGAGATCTTCTCTCTTTCAACTTCTGAGGAGATTCCTTAAAAGCCCAGCGGGATGGCAAGGCGATCCCTGTACACCTTACCTGTATGCCCCTCCCTGCTCATTTGATGGGAGTCACAAAGGCCAAGGCCAGAAGAGACTTGTTAAGTACATCCACAGTATCACACATAGCCACACACAATAAGTTCTGGGAAAGGTGGCCCCTAGAGAATAGTAAGAGATGTAAATATTGCTGTAACAATTTTGTACCTGTGTGGGAAAAAATAGTAGATTTGTACATTAATTACTCTTAAAAAAAATCAACTGCAGATATGGTTCATAGCCCTCTATGTGATAGATAGATAGATAGAACGCGTAATTTAGACAAAAAGGAATTTAGGAAAGATTTCTTAAGTAAGTTGTATGAAGCATTGGCTGTTCAAAAGAATAAAGGGAATGTAACAGTGTCACTGCAGCACCATCTGAAGAACAGCAGCCATGGCTGTGTGCCACGCTGTGTCCCTGGGCCTCAGCAAGGGCCCAACTAACTGAATGTGAGCAGGCCGAGGCACGGCTGCCACCGAGGGCACCTCACCAAGCACACCAAGTTTGTGTGGGACGGTATCAGGAGATGGGGGGCTCTGTGCACAATGAGTTGCATGCCATGAAGCTGCTCAAGGAGAGGAGCTCAGCAACGTCCTGGCTTCCATGGGGAAGGCACCTGCCACAGGGACTGAGCAGGTCTCTGTCCAATGGGTTCCCCCACTAAAAAAAACACAAAACTACAGAAAATAGGAAGAGAATGAAAAAGCAAATCACAATGTGAGAAAAATCGCAATATGTTTAATTTTAAAAAGTCATGTCTAAAATATACAAAGAATTTCTCAACTCTGTAGCAAGACAAATAAGCTAATAGACAAATGGGGAAGGTTGTACAGCTACTGCCCTAGAAAGGATGTCGCTGTGAGCACTGCAATGAATGGGGAAGAACAGTGAAAGACTCCTGCTCAGCCTTAAGAGAGAAGCAGAGTTTTGACTGACACTTTCAAGTGTTGGAAACCCTATAAAGGGTCGCTATGGGTCGGAACCGACTCAACGGCACTTAACAACAACAACAAATCAAGTGTTGGTGAGTGTGAAGCCAGTGGAGCTCTCACACACTCTGGAAGATGGGAGTGAAAATCGGAATGACCACTTTGGAAGAGAGCAAACTTTTTACTAACTCAAGACCTCCTTTGCATAAATTTCTCCAATGACTTTTCAGCTCAGCTCAGAACCCTTGCAGTGACTCCCGCGGTCTGGTATATGGCCCGTGCTACTTTTCTGACTCACCTGCCTTTTTCCCTCCTGCTCTCTTGCTGTTCAGATATGCCACACCTTTCCTTGAGTCAGTGTTTTGGAGTTGTTTTCTTCAGATAGTTGCATGAGAAACTAACTCACATCGTTTCAGACTGTTCAGAGAGCCCTGACCAAGCTGCCTAAAACAGTACTGTCAGCTGATCTGACTCATAGTGACCCTACGAATAGGGTTTCTGAGACTCAGTCTTTATGGGAGCAGACAACCTCTTCTTTCTCCCACCATGCAGGTGGTAATTGTGAACCACCGACCTTGAATTTCACAGTCCAGTGCCTAACCCACAGTGCCACCAGGACTCCTTCCTAACCAAATACGTGAATTAAAGCCGCATATTTTGTCCCTTTATTGTCACCCTGTTTCCTTTACTCTTCATAACCCTCTTAGCAGCTTCCTATACAGACTTAATCTGTCTTCTCGCTTAAAAGGAACCCTGATGACTTAGTGGTTAAGCATTCGACTAAGGCAGTAGAGTCCGCCAGCTGCTCTATGGCAGAGGGATGGAGTTTGCAGCCTTGGAAGCCCTGTAGGACAGTTCTACTCAATTCTCAGTCAGAATTGGCTCGGTGGCAATGGGTCTTTGGTTATCACACACATTTAAGTTTTATGAGAGTAATTTCTTTGTTTTGCTCCTGTCTTATTTCCTGATTTTAGACCAGGACCTGGCACATAGTAGAGGCCATAGGATGTGATCTGAATGTGAAGTGGTTAAGAAATAGAGAACCCACTAAGTCTGTTTTGTCTTACATAGATTTGTGTTTGTTGCCAAAGGATGTAAATATGTCTTATTTAATATCTTACTTAAAAATCTAAACATAAATTGGATTGCTTCCATTAAAATTTTGCAGTTTTAATTGATTTAAAAGCTTTTCTAGTCATAATTTGTAGGGAAAACTTAATGCTTTTCAATAGGTAGGAGAAATTAACTACTGGATACAGTTGAAATAATACATAGATATTGCATCAAATGCATGCATTTATACTTTAAGCATGTATACTCCTATTAAAGAGTTTTTCTTTTGCTATCCATATCCAAGTGGGAGCTGGTGAGGTGGCCAACTTCGCTGCATACGCATTTGCACCAGCCACGTTAGTGACTCCATTAGGTGCGCTCAGCGTCCTAGTAAGGTAAGGGTGATAAGGTAAGGACACTATGTCTCCTTTCATGTGACAGAGCAGTCATGGGGGCTGTAGTCTGTAAGAATACAGTGCCATCTCGTGACCTACTAAGCACAATTTGCAAATAAACAACCTTAGCTCCTTTTTAAATTGTGTTTCTGAAACATTAGTCTTGTATGCATAGGCATGCCTGTGGATTTGTGGGAGAAAATGCATTTATGCTTTCCCTTCCTTGGTGCTTAGTACTAGGTCTAGGTTGGTTTCTGTGTTTTAAAGTTCTGAGTTGTGCATGTCACAACATGCACTGTTTGACCTACGTGGTCTTCGTTAGGTGGTGGTTGGTGAAGAACAGACAATCTGAAGTACAGGCCTTGTGTACTTATTTGGAAGAAGCTGTCTAAAACTTAATTTTGGTATTTAATGAGTAGCCCAAACAGCTAAACACAAATTATAGTCTGCATTTTGATTTTTATTCCCCAAATTGATTGATAGGTACGTTTACCCTTTTTTTGATGTTAATGCACATGAAGGGTTGTGGTACATGCCTTTCCCCTTAATTTTCTGTAACTTTTATCATATTTATTGGCTTAGAATGTATTTTCTTAGTAGGTGTGAAAAACCCTAGCATGATGAAGCAATCTGCTCCTGCAAAGACTTGCAAGTTTTGGAAACCCTGTACGTGGTTGCTGTGAGCCGGAACCGACTCAATGGCACTTAACAACAGCAACAGGCAGATTACATAGAATTAAATGAAGAAATAAAAAGAATGCATCAACTAGTAGTGATAAAGTTGAGCCTTCTTTCAAGCGGCAGTTTGGTTACACATTCCTAATTAAGTAGTAAGTTGGTACAAATTACGCTCCTATTAAGTTTCGTATTAACTTTTTGTAGTAGAAAGATGGTAAGTAATTGGTTTTGTGTCTGATGAAGCAGATGATTCCATAGACACTTTTTGTTAACGGTTGTGTGTGCATGTTCTTTCCCGTGGCTGACAGCAGCATCTCTGCACTATTAACAGTGCTCCCGTGTGAGGTCACTTTTAAGCTCCATGTTGTGTTGATGTTTAAAAGAAAACTCATTGTGCTATTGACATCCCCCCCTTGTTTTTTTTGTTTGTGTTTTTTAGTGCTATTCTCTCTTCCTACTTTCTAAATGAAAGACTTAATCTTCATGGGAAAATTGGGTGCCTGCTAAGTATTTTAGGATCTACAGTTATGGTCATTCATGCTCCAAAAGAAGAGGAGATAGAGACTTTAAATGAAATGTCTCACAAGCTCGGTGATCCAGGTAGGAAAATACGAAAGCTTTATTTGTCTTCATTGTATTTACTTTTTTAGTGTTTACTTTAATCAAAATGTTACATGTAGAAAGAGTGAAATAGTTCTGGAAGGTTTATTATAAAAACTAGCAGTCATACTCCTCGTCCACAAGTACTTAGCCCCTTGTTCTGTTTTCTAGTTTTCTCTCAGTGCTGTGGTTATACTGCTTCTTGCTTGCTTGACTGTAGGGAATTGGCTTTACATTGTAAAAAGATGAGACTTTAGTGGTGTTGTTACTTGTTTACAGTGTCATCACTCCATGACTTTTATCCTCAGTTTCCCCATATTATGATACATTGTGGTTACTTTTCCTTTCTTGTATGGCATACGATTTTCCTGAACTACTATTCTTTTTGGAATCATCTTCCATCATGAAACTTTTTGCCTGTTGTCTGATTCAGCTCTTGGTTGGTCATTTCAAACATTTGAGGGATTCTTTGGAAATCTCTCACACAGAGATTGTTTTTGGCAATAGTTTACACTGATGTTTCTAGATTTCTAGGTCGGCAGAGAATCGTGTTAGAATTTTCCTTTATCATCAGTTGGGGATTTCCTCTGTTGGTTTTTTTTGTTGTTTGTTTTTTTTGCTGACTTCTAGGTGTGCACCTTCATTTTGGTGAAGTCACATTTATATGATAAGAGAAAAGGCACAACTCAGACTATTTAATCTACCCATTTTCTTCTCCCTTCCACTGTTGCTGTTAAGAAATCTAATGCAACTAACCGGCTCTGATTCTTTTTTATGTGACCAGTCTTTCATCCTTGGAAGCTTTTCAGATATTCTTTTTGCCCTTAGGATCTGAAATTTTCCATTTAAATTTCATTGTGGCCAGTTTTCATTCTTTGTACTAAGTACTTGATGGGCATTTTTTATTTGAAAATTGGTGTTTAATATGAGGAATATAATTACTCCTTTGAAATTCTCCTTTCCATTGTCTTACTTGTCTTTTGACTGGACTTCCTTAACTGGTTCATTTTCTTATATATATATTTTCTCATAGCTTTACTGTTTTGTCTTTTTCTTCTGTTTTCTGGGTAATTTCCTCAGTTGTGATTTCCAGCCCTTCTAGTGAGATTTTATTTCTGGTATTATGTTAGCAGTTTTGTCTGCACAGTGTCAATATCAGGGTTTTGTTTTTTTTCAGTTTTTCACTTTTGTCTTTTGGTATTTTCTTCTAAATTTCATGTCATTGTTTTTGAGAATGTGCACAGCCCAGTAATAAGAATTGAGCCGTTTCTGCCTGGACAGTTTAGTCACATTGATTCCATTCCTCCGTCTGTACTGCTCTGCTGACCTTCCTTTTCCTAGTTGTTCCTCCCTGATTAACGTCAGTTTACCACCCCTAAGCTTCCAATCCAGCCTTCTTAATTGGATAGTTCATAATGTCACTTTACTCTCATAAAGATAGTTCTTAAAAGAGCACAATGCTCAAGGCAGACCTTTGTACTCATTAAGGAAAATCTCCAGTGTGTATTACACATGGATGTTTCTTTTAGAAAGACCAGCGAGTGACTGGTCCCTATGAATTGAAGGTTAATGATAGCCCAGCTCTTTGACTATTTCAACATGTTACACTCCCCCGCAGTGCTTGATATCAGTCACCACTCCTCAAGTCCCAGAGTTCTGCAACACCCTGCAATGTCTCACAGAACCACCAGCTGCCAAAGGAAGTGGCCCACACAATTGTGGAGGCTGGCAAGTCCCAATCTGTAGTGCAGAGGTCAGTCTGGAGGAGTCCTCTCACCCATGGAGTCTGAGAAGCTGAGGAACCCAAATCGGCAGGACAGAAAACAGAGACTGTGGGAGCTGGTGAATCAGGTCAGGCACTGGGCACGAAGTCTCACAAAGTGGAGGTCAAACATACTAATCAGGTGCGGGATTCCGGGCAAGAGAAGTGAAGGGGGCTAACTTGAGCCACACCCGCTAGCAAAGTTTTGGTGTAGTTAGGTGCCGTCTAGTCATTTCCGACTCATAGGGACTCTGTATAGGGTTTTTGAGGAGCAGTTCATGAGCTTGAACTGTCGATCTAGCGGTTCAAACTGACCTTGTGGTCCAGCACCACTGTGGGACACCCTTAATCCTTAGTTGTACTGTATTGCTTACTCATTAGCCTCAGCTTCAGCCTTACTGTTTAGCAACTCTTTTCAGAATGAGTCCATCATCACAAGGCCAGACACATGGGTTTACAGTACATCACAGAGTGGAGAAGTGAAGCTGAACTGGAATGCACAAACTGCAGGCAAACAAGTTGCACAAGCACTTCTGCTGGTCACACCCAGTGGGAGGCAGTTGGTCAGTGCTTAGGAATACACAAACAGACAACCATCACCATAATACAAACACAGCAAAATGTCTTAAAAGTAGCAATTTCTGCTCACACTAAGAAACAGAACAGAGTGGCTCAACCAAGTGTCCAAGAGGCAGAGTTCACTATAAATACCCTGGACTGACCAGCATTTGTACTAATGTTTTTTAGGTTGTTTTTATTTGTATAGGCCTTTTTGTTTCTCTGGTTATATTTATTCCCACATATTTCATCTTTTGGGTGGATATTGTAAATGGTATTGTCTTGATTTCCTTTCAGAGCTCTCTTTATTAGTGTAAAGGTATCGCTTGCTGGTTTTTGTGTATTGTTATTGTATCTTGCCACTTTCCCAAATCCATCAATGAGCTCTAATGATTTCTTCCTGTATCTTTGTAATTTTCTAAGTATAGAATCATATCGACTACAAATAGAGTTTTACTTCTTTTTTTTACTTCCTTTTCTTGCTTTATAGCACTGGCTAATACTTTGAGCACAATATTTAATAGGATTGGTGATAAACGTCATCCTTGACTGGTTCCCATCCACAGTACACAAGGGGAATGGCTTCAGATTCTCACCATTGTGAATGATGTGGGCTTTTAGTTTTGAATATATGCCCTCTGTTATGTTGAGCAGTTACTCTTCTGTTCCTATTTTGTTACGTGTTTTTATCAGGGATGAGTGTTGGGTTTTGTCAGATGCCTTTGTTGTAGCAATTGACAAGATCATATGATTTAAGTAAAGACTTTTTTTTATTTATATGGTAAATTAAGTTGATTATTTCTCTAATATTGAGCCATCCCTGGTATGATTCTCACTTGGTCACGATGTGTTTTTTCTGATATATTACTGGATTTTATTTGTTCGGATTTTGTTACGAATTTTTGTATCTGTGTACATGAGGGGTGTCCAGTGTCTTCATAGGATAAGCTTTGGATTGTGAACCAGAAGGTTCGTGGTTTGAGCCCACTAGCCGCTCCACAGAAGAAAGATGAGGCTTTCTGCTCCCATGAAGATTTAAAGCATAGGAAACCCTATATTAAAGGTACCGTGGACTGCCAGAAGAACAAACAAATCTGTGTTGGAAGAAGTACAACTAGAATGTTCATTAGATGGCAAGACTCGTCTTTCACACTTTAGACATACTATCAGGACAGACCAGTCCCTAGAGTTGAACATTATGCTTGGTAAAATTGAGGGGCAAGGAGAAAGAGGGAGACCCTAATGAGATGGATTGGCACAGTGGCAGCAACAATGGGCTCAAGCGTACCAGCAACTGTGAGGATGGCAAAAGACTGGGCAGATTCGTTCTGTTGTACACAGGGTCACTGTTGGTAGGAACCATTTCTATAGCACCTAATAATAAGAAACCTTTTTGAATGTGTGGCAGGATTCATTAGTAAAGCCACCTGGTCTGGACTGTTTTTTAGTTGGGAGTTTTTAATGACTTTATCAGTTTCTTCTCTTATTATAGCCCTGTTTACATTTTCTGCTTCATCTTTTAGTTTAGGTAGGTCATTAGTTTCTAGAAATTTGCCTATTTCTTCTAGATTTTCAAATGTGTAGGAGTAAAATTTTTTATAATGTTCAGTTATCTTGGTTATGTTGTGACATCACTCATAGAATTATTTGTGTTATTTGCATCTTCTTTTTTTCTTTTGTTAGATTTGCCAGTGGGTTGTCTATTTTCTTAATCCTTTCAAAGAATGGGATTCTTGTCATGTTGTTTTTCTGTGTTCTATTTCATTTATTTCTGCTCTAACCAGTAGCAACAGCAGTGGGCTCAAGCTTGACTACTGTGAGGATAACGCAGGGCCAGGCAGCAGTGTATGCTGTTGTTCATAAGGGCACTGTGAGCCGACTGGCACCGACTCGGTGACACCTCAAAACAAACTTTACTGTTTTTCACTTGTGGTGGCTGTAGGCTTACTTCACTGCTCTGCTTTTTAACTGGATCGAGTGTTATGTTTATGAGGTCAACTTAGTTGATTGTGTTGTTGAGTTTCTAGATGTCTTGTCCTCCATCAAAAGTGCTGTCTTAATGTCTCCTGTTATTTATTGTTGTTGAGTGCCATTACGTCAGTTCTTTATAGGATTTCTGAGGAGTGGCTGCTGGGTTTGAACCGCTGTCCAGTGTTTATCCTACAGCACCACACCAGGGCTCCTGTAAAAAATGTTGATGGTGTCACAGTGAGAATATGAAAGCATGGTTTGATCCTCCAGTTTCTGGGTGTGTCTCTTTATTTCAGGGCCACACCTTCTCTCCTTCCTCCGAACTTCAACTTTTGTGACTAAATGTAACTTTTTTTTGCCTCCTCCAGGTTTTGTGGTTTTTGCAACACTTGTGGTCATTGTGTCCTTGATATTAATCTTTGTGGTGGGACCGCAGCATGGACAGACCAACATCCTTGTGTATATAACCATCTGTTCTGTGATTGGAGCATTTTCCGTCTCCTGTGTGAAGGGCCTAGGCATTGCCATCAAGGAACTGTTTGCGGGAAGGCCTGTGCTGCAGCACCCGCTGGTCTGGGTCCTGCTGCTGAGCCTGATCCTCTGTGTGAGCACACAGATCAATTACCTGAACAGAGCCCTGGACATATTCAACACTTCAATCGTCACTCCCATCTACTACGTAGGCTTCACAATATCAGTTTTAACATGTTCAGCTATTCTCTTCAAGGAGTGGCAGAATATGCCTGTTGATGATGTCATTGGCACTCTGAGTGGCTTTTTTACAATCATTGTGGGAATATTCTTGTTGCATGCCTTTAAAGATGTCAGTTTTAATCTAGCAAGTCTGCATATGTCTTTTCGGAAAGATGAAAAAGCCATGAACGGCAGTCTCTCTAGTATGTATGAAATTCTCAGTAGTGAAGAATCCTTAACCTGTGGGATTGAGCAACACACTGGGGAAAATATTTCTCGAAGAAATGGAAATCTGGCAGCTTTTTAGGAAAGATACAGTTAAAAGGTTAATCTAGAATTGTTATAAAATGAAAACGAGTATCAGAATGTGTCTCAAAAAGCATTGTCCTCAAATAATGTTCTCTAAAGACAATCTTTTTTAAGGTTTCACTGATTTGGACCAAGAAATTAGTTTTCTTATAAGTAAATGATAGTCGCTCACTACGATACCCTCATTCACTATCTGGCCAGTTTCTGTTTCTGTTAACATGGTATTAGTGTAGAGAGACCTTTTAAAGTTTGATTCCTTCACCAAAAACTAAATGCACTAATGACAGTTTTAAGTCTATGAAAATGCTTTATTTTTTCAATGGTGATAAAAGTTAAGAAGTGTACAATTGTCTTCCCCACTCTATCAAGTCCTGATCGCTTTAGGCTTTTTGATTTTAAAAAATATGGTTTATCTTACATTTGACAATTATTCTTGTTTGATGAATCATATAATTTTGAATTGTTAGTGTAAGGGAATTCTAAGTTACTGAGGGAACACTGTAGCCCACATAAAAAAAAAAGGAAATCACCTTGAAAACTCTTTTTCAGATTGTTACTTAGATTTCCATATGATGTCTTAGACAGTTTTGTTAAAATCAGCTGCATCTTGCATCTGTCTACTGGGACTAGGCTCTCTTGAGTTCGTCCGGTTTTGTTTTTCAGTTACTTTAATCTCATGATGACTTGAAGCTCGATTATTATTTTTACATCAGATCTTATACTTTTCTGTATGTCTTCCTAATGAATTATATGTCATTTATTGCCTTTTAACAGCCCTGGGAAATGAAGTTGGAAGACTAGGATCACATATTTCTCACATTAGTTTATAATACAAGAAATTGAAACAAAGATCTTTTTTAAGTCTAAATGCTTGGAACAAACTTAGTGTTTGTAAAATATGGTTTCTTTGTACCAAGTATTTTATTTTGCTTAAGTTTTCATTTGTACTATATAATTTGGTCTTTTAATATGTGTTTATGGAAATTTTTAAGCACATTCAAAAAAATAAATAAATAAACCTTATAATAAATCCCTATCCTGTGCCAAAACCTTTTAACTCTTACCTATTAATTGGCCTTAAAAAACCAATAGTTCTGGGGACACAATTTCCATTTGGGCTGTAGGTAGAACATGGTCTGTACCATTCTGCTATCCCTGGTCACGACTGTACATCTTGTGGGTCATACGCTGCACCTGCCCTGGCTTCGCCTCTGAACACTTCACTGAGCAGAGAAGGTAGAGGCCGCAACACAAGCCCACAGCCTCCGAGGTCTTCCCTGTCATCTCACCATTAGCATTAGCTGTGCCAGGCTGTTTGTATTCAGTCTCCACACTTCATGAACTCAGTTCTGTTTCCCTAATTTGTTTATTATTGTCCCCCTACAAAAGTCTTTTGGACCCCTTCCAATGCCTTTCCCCATGTAGTTTGGCTACCACACATTTACTTTTTACCCTATCTAGTTACGTACTTTATCTGTATTTTATACATGAGAACTGAGTTTCGTCCATTTATGGGTAGTATCGTCCCCAACAAGACTGGATGGGTTAATTAGTGCTAATAAATTCTTACTTTCACATTTGATAAAATACTTGAAATGGTCGTATACATGTTTAGTACATTTTATTTGGTTTATAATCTTACAAAACTCAGTAACCTGAACTATTTAGTTGTAGTCATTTTCTTTTGATCATATTCTCCACTTTCAGTATATGGTGATCGTCGTACCATCTCTTCATCTAGAAGTCCCTGGGAAGCCTGGTTAGTGCTTAACTGGAGTTATTTTTGGTTTTATTGTGCTATCCAGATTTCTTTTAACTCAGGTTTGTGGCAGCCCTTCACCATGTTTCCAACAGCATGTATTCACTTAGTGTTTCTGTGTAACATTTTTGTAATTATTACAAGATGTCTCAAACTGATTCAGAGTGCTAGGTGGTACATGTAACAGACTATGTTGTTGTGAAGTGACGCCTAGTCACAGCAACCCCGTATAGGGTTTTCAGGGAGCTGCTGGGGGTGAGTTTGAACTGCCAAACAGCCCACGGGAAGCTGACATGCTGACACACGGGGTGCAGTGGTGACTCAGCTGCTGGCCAGAGACTGGTGGATGGGGGCCTGGAAGCAGCGGACGTGCTCCACAGGCGTGCTCTCTCCATCTCCTGACTTCAGGTACTTGTCCAGGATATTGATGATCTCATCATTGAGAATCTGGAACTTGTGAATCCTCTCCACCATCTTCTTCAAGGGCTAGGATTGAAATTAGAGTGCGTTCAAAAGTAGAATTAGCATGCACTAATTTGAAATGTTGTGGATGTATTGTTTGTGTTTCAAATGTAGGAAAGTCATTTCCTCAGGAACAACGTCAACCAAATGGTACTGACACACATACCATCTCTTTAATACAACTATTGGAACTAGTTTTCAACAGAAACACATTTCTTTCTTTGTAGGTTTCCTGCTACTAACAGATACACTCACTCGTTCACATAACTTAAAGATCTATTCAATCACCTAATAGGTCAAAGGAATGCTATAGCACAGTAGTTGGGCTGCTAACTGCAAGGTCAACAGTTCAAATCTACCAGCCACTCTGCGGGAGAAAGATGAGGCTTTCTGCTTCCGTGTAAAGATCTTCAGCCTCAGAAACCCTACATAGTGTCAGAACCAACTCCACAGCACATCATCACCATCTCCACCACCACCCCACTAACCTGAAGGTTGGTGGTTTGAACCTACCAGCAGTCTAATGGGACAAAGATGTGGCATTCTGTTCCTATAAAGATTTATAGGCAGTTACACTCTGTTCTGTGGGTTGCTGAGTCAGAACTGACTTGATGGCAGTGAGTTTGGTTTGGAATAAAAGCAGGAAGACAAAGTTGAAGATGCTATCATCAGTAGGGGATCCAATTCTTAGGCTTTTGTAATTGCGGACAGGATGTGTTGCCAGACCCTTCTGCTATAGTAAACTCAAACTCACTGCCATGAAGTGGATTCCCACCCAGAGCAAATCCTGTCAAGGGTTTCTGAGGCCGTAAATGTTTACAAGAATAGAAAGCTGCATCTTTCTTCCCCTGAGCGGGTTCTGTGTCTTGAATGCTGACCTTGTGGTTAGCTGCCTAGGGCTCCTGCTTGTAATTGATGTGGATAAAAGATGCACACAAAAGACAACATGAAGGCATTGCTGGGGCTGCCTGTGCAGGACGTATAGGGTAGGTACCAACAGCAGCTATGGAGTGAGGAGCAGTAACCAAGGTGACTTATGCCTGGAGACCTGACCCTCTAATCTACACCCATCCCAGGTGGATAACTGCTGGAGATGAACAGGAACGAATGTAAATCTGGAAAGCAATTAAAATCAAGTTCAACAGGAGTTTGCAAATTTAAAAAATCTGTGTGGTGCTGTGGGTTAATGCGCCAGACTTCAAAGTCATTTGAATGGCAAGTTTGGCAGTTCAAGCTCACCAGCTGCTCCTCGGATACCCTATATAGGGTCGCTATGGGTCGGAACCGACTCAATGGCATTTCACAACAGCAAGGAGCTCTGGTAGCATAGTAGTTACGAATCGGGCTGCAAACCACAAGGTCAGCAGTTCAAAACTACCAGCTGTTCCATGGGAGAACGATGAGGCTTTCTGCTCCCATAAAGATTTACAGCCTCGGAAACCCTGTACAGGGTCGCCACGAGTCGAAATCGACTCAACGGCACATAACCACCAACCACCACAATGCACTGGAAGCATTTTAGAATAGAATTTTGATTCTTAGGCAAATTCGTGCCATATTGATCCAGGGACCACCTTTTTCTGACGCTAAAGCTGTGGTGGAGAATAAATACCCCTCCACATACCATCTGTGTCTTGTAAAAATCTGTTTCCCTTCTCTGGTCAGTCCAGACCTCAGCTGCTGTGGGCACTCCTTTCATACACAAACCCATGACGTCAAACCAGTTTATTCCAGTTTGAAGCCTTGATTCCCATTCACTACACCTGGAGTAGCCCTGGAGGATCTGCACTGGACTTCAACCTACAAGGTTGGCAGTTCAAACCCATCAGCAGCTCCCTGGAAACTACAGGGTTGCTATGGGTTGGAACTGACTTCCATAGCACTTAACATCAACAGGGGCTAGTTCAGGGTGCCGGCCCTTCTTCTGTGTCTTAGATATAATTCTAATTCTTTAAAACATTGAAAACTGGTAAGGACTGTCTTTAGTGGAAAATAAAGATAGGAACACACAGGGCAAGGTCCAGGGTGGGGTCTCCGTGCAAAGCTTCTGTGTCCCCAGGGGTGCTTACGCTCCCCGAAGCAGATGTTCCTTCTAGAAGTTCCACGGAACCTCGGTTTCTCAAGGCCTTTGTTGGCTTCGTCTCTGAGCTGGAACAGACTGGACAGTACTTAACAACATGTGGTCATTATTGAATGCATCATGCCCGAACGGCTAGTTAGCACCAGGCACCCAGAAGATATCCCTTGGGCTGATTAAGTCCCTACTCATTGACCTCAGGTGTGGTCCTGCTCTAAGGAACCAGAGCCCAAAGCTGAATTGTTTACTGCAAAGGAGTTCCAGCCTTGTACTTTCAGATTCAATGTGTAAAGAAAGGAAAATCAATTACTTCCCAGAAAGGACCTCTGGTGGAACAGTGAGGAAGGTCTTGCTACAAAGGCTCTGGAAGACGCCTCTGTCACTGGGCAAGTTCTAGCAACCCATTTAGGTATTCCAATCTGGTAGCGTAGTGGTTACAAATCGGGCTGCTAACCTCAGGGTCAGCAGTTTGAAACTACCCGCTGTTCCACGGGAGAAAGATGTGGCTTTCTGCTCCCGTAAAGATTTACAGCCTTGGAAGCCCTGTATAGGGTCGCTATGAGTCATAATCAACTCTATGGCACATAACCACCACCACCAGCTATAGGCTAAATACAGGCAGGGTGAAATACAGTCACACACTAATAATGAGTAGAACAGAGAGAAGGGTAAATAAGTTCATTCTCAAAGCAGAACTGGACATAGTTGGTATCTACTGTAAAATCAGTACTACAGGTAGCACTGCAGAGGTGCTGCTGGGTAAGCA